TGTTCCTTGCTTCCCCATTAAGGGGAAGAATCTCCCAGAATAGAATCTCCTAATTTTCAATTCCTGGGAATTGTCTCTGGGAAAGGGTGGGAGGGTGGTGTTGAGGACAGTTCCCAGAAAGGGAGAGCTGGGGCAGATGACCCAGTAGGGTCCTTCGTAGGAGACTGGGCTTCGATGTAGCAAAGGTTGGAGGATGACCCGATCTGATGCTTCCAGGACAGTCTTTCTCAACTGCATACCTACGTTCAGATGCCTTTTTGAGAGTGCCATTGGAAAACCTCGATGTTTTAAGTGCTCCCTGGTCATTCTTATATACTTTAGAGTTTGGTAAGCCTTTTCTAGAATGTATTCTCAAAGAGATCCTGTGAAAAGACAGAATTTCAACTAAGCATCTTAAGCAAGCAACCTGAGGAACTTATTAAAGCATTAGCTCTTCTTAGAGTCCTGGGCATGAGAGACTCTCAGTGGGTTTTGTGCCTCCTAGTTCCGTAAGACGAGTAGCATCAACGAGAGCCGTGGTAGGTTCCAAAGGCCTTGGTAAGCATGGTCAGTAGTTTCTGAATGATTTTCGGTCAGCTAGTAAGAAATTATTGAGTGCAGGTGATTGAATTCTGTATATTTATCATTTATAGGTTTTAGCTGAATAGATTTTTATTTTTTTTGAGCGAGAGAGAGGGGGAGAGAGTAGCTGGGGTGGGGGGGTGGGGTGGAGAGAGAGAGAGAGAGAATCTCAAGCAGACTCTACACCCCACATAGAAATCATGACCTGAGCTGAAATGAAGAGTCTGCCGTTTAACTGACTGAGACTCCCAGGTACTCTGAATGGATTTCTTAAAAGCTAATACTTGGAGTCACGGCATAAGTTTATTATTAAGGGTATGTCATCCACGGCTATGAAATTAGGAGGACTGTTGAGTATTACTGTCTTTCTTAGGAACTGCTAGCAAAGTCAAAATGTCTTAATACTTCTCTCCAACCTTTTCTTCCCAACTGGAAGAGTAAATCAAAAAAACCAATTTATCACTTCATCTGAAACAGAAAAGTGTAGCAAATTGAAGGCACCTTCTATGTGCCAGACACTGTACTAGGGTATTTTACGTGCATTATTACATTTAACCCTCATCACTAAATGAGGTTGCTGCAATTATTTCCAACTTTAGCAAAAAAGCCCAAAGCTCATGCATTTGCTTCCAATCATACAGAAGGCGTAGGGCTGGGCCTGGAACCCAGCTTGGAATCATGTCCTCGCCTGTGTTGTTTGTATTATACACAGCGGGAACTAAAAGACGAGCCTTCCTTGTTTCTAGTTAAACCCTAGCTTTCTTCAGGGAGCCCATCTAATCCCACCTATCCATGTGGCCTTCCCTGACATTCTTCAGCGCTGTTTCTCCGCACCATTCACTTGATACTTATGAACGTGTTTTGTCGTGTTTTCACAGTTTAGTATTTCTGAGGTTGGGACGGATCTTGCCATGGGTGGTGGTTTGTTGTTGGTCAGCGTTTTGTTTTCTCCCTTAACAGTACATAAAATTAAGGTACCTCTTCCAACCGATGGCATCTAACATTCAATAAAATATGGTAGATACTACTTCGCTGTTTTATAGTGTGGACATGTCCTATTAAGTTTATGTGGCAGAAATAGTGCTCACAAACAGCCATGTGCTCCCCTAGCTTCTTCAGCTTCTTTGAAAGGACCCCCAGCTGGGTCCATGTGACAAGTACTGGCTGATGGATTCTGAACAGAAGTGACACATGGTTCCCCTGGGGCCAAGGCAGTGAAGAGCTGGTATGCCTCTTCCTTCCCTGTCACAGCAAGCTTGGGAGCCAATAGATATTAGATACTCATTTAACGGGTTTACAGTAATATCTACTCATCTGACAAGTGGACCATGATCACTCCTTCTGCTGGGTTCCCACTAAGCAAGGACACATTACTTTACACACCAACACTTTTAAGTAGCAATCCTGGGGTGCTGGCCCCTTGTTCCTTTACATTTCCTCGCTTTGCATTATCTGTACATTCAGCTAGACTTCCACTGGCAACATTTCTTTACAATAATGTGTCCTGGGAATGGGGGAGAAAAACTCCGAGAAAAGGGACATAAGAAAAGCATTCGATTTCTAGTATCCAAATATTTGGCGAGACTGCAGAAGTGAGCAGGTACCTGAGTTTCAAAATGCAAGGCTGGAAAGATTTTGGCCCAGCTCGTTTCTTGAGCAGCCTTCAGGACTGACTGATGATCCCCACGATGAGATGACTTGTTGGTTTCACTGAAAATTCCGTTCTTTTCAGAACACAATCCTGAATTAACTTTTTGCATTGTCTCAGGAAAATCGTGTTTGCGAGAATGCTTTACGGTGCCCCCTTGAATTTCCTGGATCTGAGGAAGTGAAGGGAAAGACTATTTGCTTTTAGGTAATCAGATTCTCTGGGATTTAATCCTATATCCCATTATGGCTGAGCTAGCCATTCAAAATTAAAATGAACCTTTCATCCGTGTGTATCATAAATGGGCATTTATCAGGATTATATGATTTTGCAATCCATCTGAATACGTAACCAGAATTTGTTTTCTTTCCGTTTCACTATGTAATTACCATGCAACAATAACAAAAGTGACATGTTTGAAGAACAGATAAAATGTTGCAAATTGGCCAGTAATGGTGATATTTCCTCATCTTCTGAAAAACCCATTTATTCTCTCTCTCAACAAATCAAGGCTTTGTCAGCCCACACTCATCTCGTGGCCAGAGGGGCTCCACCAATTTCTGGATGTGAGTGAGTCTTGGAATGCAGATGAGGGGGACTGACGAAGGCTTTCAGCAAAGGCAGCTGGTCTTTGCTTGCCTCAATTTCTAAATCATCCATAATGGGGCCAAGACCTCCCAAGCACTAAAAAGAGCGAGCTGACATGCTGGACAAACTGTTAATTTTTTCCTGAAGAAGCTGCTATATTGCACATCTGTCACTGTGGCGCAGACAATTACTCACTGAGTGGGGGAGAAAATCTGCCGCTTGTTTCTAGCTGAGTTGTTAAGGGACCTAATGGAGAAATGCAATGGCGTAGGAGTCAAAACATGCTGGTTTCCTGTGGGCTTGGCGATTGTCTCCTCTTGGGAAGGCTGTCCGGTGACATTAAAATAGGCGAAGTAGACTAAGATGTGTGGAGAGGAATCCAAAGCGGCCAGGTAACAGGAAAGGCATGTAAAGTTGTGGGAGGGTCAAGAGCCAAGCCTTCCAAATTAGGGACCAGACACAATAGCCTTTGTGCTAGAATTACTTCCAATTTCACACCCTTACCGTATGCTCCCAAGGCCTTCACATCCACATACAAAAATTGTGCATGTCCTACTTATCGTGTCCATAATGAATTATAGCCATCCACAAAGAACTTGAGAATTCCAGATTGGCCACGTTGGCCAACAGACAGACCCTCATTCCCACCCTCACCACAAACTCATTTGCTTATCAGAACCATGAAATTCTAGCATGTGAAGAAATTCACCTCAATAAGGGATGTGAGAAATTGCCATTTTAGGAAGCTTATTTTAAGTACATGTTCAGTTAGCATACTAGTTCTCACCTTTCTGCTTTTATTAAAGAATGCTGCCTTCAGGAAGAATAAACGTTTCTTAGAAATTTAATAGGAAGATGAAACATAGGTAAAAAATAGTTGCAGGGGGTTGTCCTTTTATCTGGGATACTATCACAACACGGTCTTGTTGTGCAATTACACCATCTTACACCCGAAAGATCAAGTATCCTACACACATTTAAAATTCTAGTGATTTATTTTGAAAACTCAAACTACAACAACAAATCAACCCCCCACCCCCAGTCAAAACCTAAACTAAACAAACACAAAAATCACCTTCGATTGTTAGCCAACTTCATCCTTGAAAGATTAAGGGGTAAACACAGGACATTCTGATCACGGAACAGGAGTGAGGTCTGTGAATCCGGGAATGATTTAAACTGTCTGACAATTCGAAGACAGAAGACAACTCTAATGTACAGATAAAACTAAAAGTGGCAATAGTAGATCATACTTCTGGCAGTTAATGGCACTGGCTCACTAGAGACAAATCTGGATCTACTTAAAATGTCAGGTGTGTAAAGTAATGAGTCTTTGCTTAGTAGGAACCCAGCAGAAGGAGCCTTCATGGTCCACTTGTCATTTGAGTATATATTACTGCAAGCCTGTTAAATAAATGAGTATTTAATACCTACTGGATTTAAAAAAAAAAAAAACAAAAACTCTAACAACTCTAGTTTTTTGGGAGAGATGATACAATTTTATGAACACTTCTTGCTTCTTACAGCAAACAAAACTCAACACTTTAGTATTACAGAATATTTAAAATGTCCAAACACGTGTATGAAAGGTACAATGCTCCAGGAGGAAATGGAGTGACTGGGACATATATGATTCTCATTGATATTTCAAGCAGCCAGAGAGAGAACGTGTGTACTTGCTACTTGAGAATCAGAGAATGTTTGAGTGGAAGGAGGCCTTGAGACAGTTTAGCCCAACTTCAGAGAAATTAAACACATGATGAAAATGTGGTAGAAAAGGTCAGTCAGCTGTGAATAAATGTGTGAGTCAAATATGTTCACCAATTTTTTTTCTTTAAAATCTTTTGAAAATACTGAAATGTTCCAGGGCTTAAAAATGAGTAATGAATTTAATTATTAGATCTTAATTGTCAAGGGGTAGTAATTAAAATTTTTTTAGAGTACTTTCAACTTTATTTTTTATTACTTTAAGGTTAAGAGGTAAACATTGAAAGCACAAAGACAATGACTGCTTATAAATAACATTTTTAAACATAGTTTTATTCTTTCATTCTTTGTTGTACTATTAATATAGCTTTCTACCAAAAGGAAAAAAAAAACTAAAAAAAAAAAAAATCCAAAATAGTCTTTGCTAACCAACTTCATTTTACAATACTAATTGAGATCACTTTTTGTTTTTAGAAAGACAAAATACAGGAAGAAATTATTTTCTTTCGAGAAATTACGGCTCAAAATGAAAATGTGAAGAGAAGGAACTGTCAGTTCACTCATTATAAGAACATCAATTCACAATGTTAAAATGAACGTATTAATAAAATGTAGTATTTTGCAATCATGTCTGTTTTTTGCACACGTATGTGCCTGTAAATACACCTGTATGTATACATTGTGCATACCTTTTAACCCTACTGTCTTTACTTCTGTTTGATAACCACAGTATGAGTTATAAAGTCTATGTATTCAAGTGTTGACACTAATTGGTAAATTTCAGTTAGTTATGTACTTTCTTTTAAAGGGGTGTCAGGTAACTGAAAAATGAAAGCAAACAAGTTTAAGGGGAATATAGCCTTAAAAATTACATTTGGGGGAAGGAAGGAAGGAAGGAAGGAAGGAAGGAAGGAAAAGACCCGAACACACAGTCTCATCAGTATCAAGTTTAATAAGCATATGAAGAAAAAGAGTTGAACTGCTAAGGTAGTCATGTTCAGCCCCTCTTGGCTACAGCTAGGGATAATTTAGACCGTAAAGGAAGAGACCTATGTATTCTCTACAGTTTAGCATGACTGATTCATTTGACATGGGCTTTAGATACTGTAGAGTAGAAAAGTGGCTTCACAAAGGAGCAGAGGAAAATCTTACCACCTTTTTCAGAAGACATGAATGTGCATTCTAAATCATGAATTCCTTCGGATGCTTTGGGTTCTATGTGCATAGTAACAAGCAGGTAAAAATTAACTGAACTATAAGTGAAACATAAATTAGTGGGCTTCATATCTTAAAAGATATTTGATTTACATTAGAAATTCAGTATCTTAATTGTGTTTGTTTCTCCAATTATGTTTGGGTACAGAGAGAACATCAGGTCTGCATTGACTGTTCTTCAGGACTGAATGGTGAAGGGATGTATGTGCTTCTGATGTATGTTTGCATGATAATATCTACTTGGAGTATTGACTCATATAGTCTGTATAGTTAAGTTAAATACTTACAAACATTAAAAAATATTTTAAGTCTTCTGAGAGCCACATAGAGGGCTCTAGACGTCAAGAATCTGACCTTTCTTTTGCTTGCTGATAATGTAAACACGAACTACTTTGGAGGGAGTGTTCGAGAACATCCAAGTTAAATGAGCATCTCCAAGGGTCTGCTTCAGAGGACTAGTACCTGTCCTGAAGGGAAACAATACAAAATGTTCATAAAGACTGTAATGTTTCATGAGGGAGTTTCCCCATGACAGTTGGTATACGTTCTGCTGTTCCTAACTATGAGGGTTAGAACATTGCAAAGTGAAAAAGGAGGTTGTCCTCAGGAGTTTGGGACCCGTCTCACAATACACTGACTGTGTGTTATCAGCAGCTTCAAATTTGGCTTTTCAACATTCTTGGGTTTCAGAAGATTTTCAGGTAATGGATTTAAAAATAAAATCTTTTGAATAGATCCTAAAGCACTCTACACTACCATAGAGAAGTTTTAACCTGGTATATAGATGATCTCCTTCAGCTTCCCCCCCAACATAGCTAAAAAGAGTATGTAATGAAAAGCATTTTTTAAAAAATGACAAATTTTCAAGAAACAAACTTATAAAAATAATCATACTACAGGGTTACTCTATCCAATAAGAATGCCTCAAAAGAGCAATTTACCTGTGTAGTCTATTATCTCTTAACCAACCTGTCCTCTTAACCACAATACCCCTAGGAAAGAAGATAATTCTTAAACGTGTACATTTGGCAAACCACAGACCTTTTTCTCCCCAACTGGCAGTTACGAGACCACCTAGGAAAGGTCTACTATCTGCACAAACCTCCTCTTTATCCTTTAAAAAAAATTTGCAAAATTTTCTAGAACCTACTACAATGGAGCATTGAGGATTTTCTGGGTCATGAAACTGCTCTGTGTGAATACTGCAATGGTGGATCCCGTCATTATACATTTATCCAAACCTATGGAATGTACAAGACCAGAGTGAACTGCAAGGTCAGCTATGAACTTTGGGTGACTATGATGTGTCAATGTAGGCTTATTGATCGTAACAAAAGTCCCACTCTGGATGATAATAGGGGAGGCCATGCATGTTTGGGGGCAGAGGGTATATGAGAAATCTCTGTACTTTCTTAATTTTTCTGTGAACCTAAAACTGCTCTTGAAAAAAAAAAAGCCTTAAAAAACTCCATCAGAAAGGTGATTCACATGTGTTAGCTTGACCTTTACTCAACCAATAAAAGCCATTATAAATATATTATCAGTCCTTAATAATGAGGATCATCTCCTAAGCTAAGAGCTATTTAGAACCTCTGGCATTACAAAGCGGATGATTCAAAAATAGTAATAATAGGAGGCACATAATAAAAATGACTTGTTTTGCTTAGTTTTAAAGTAACTACCTAGATGTTAGACGGCAAATTATCACCATTCATTTTCTTGTTCACCTTGTAAATGGGCTGGATCATTGCCAGAAATCTGAATTCGTGGGAGAGCCATTTAGATTTTCAAACAAACTGATTCGATAATTCTAGTAAGTACTCCAATGGTTAAAACTGAAAATTAGTTTACCACAGTTGCGCTGATCTTAAAAAAATATCAACCTTTGGGAAGAGAGAGGTAGAAGTCAGTCTAGATTAACAGAATTTACAGTTCAGTCATGGTGAATTTAAAAAATACATTTTTCTTTCAATAATTCTTTTCTGTTCTAGATGAGGTAAAATTTGTAAAATCTGCATTAAGGTAATGTTGTGGGCACTCTGGTGATTACAATGATGAGGTTTATTTTGGTCAGAATGTCAGAGGGAAATATTAATTGTTGTTTGTCAACTGTGAACTTTATCCTACACTGTCCAAGGAGAGATAATTGGGACCACCCTGTTACAGAATCCTTACAAAAGAGCCAAAATCAGAACGTGAAATTGGCAAGCCTTTCACACAAAGATTTGCTTAGGACTTCACTGATGTAATGCTAGGTCTTTCAAGTTCTAGGGATGATAGAAACACCACCCTCTCTGGCCTATCCCATTCGAGAAACCTGTGGGTGTGCTCTCATTTGCCTGGGCATCACACACACACACACACACACACACACACACACACACACGAACGAATCAAGCTAGAAATGACTGACCTATGAGATCAAAATAAATAGGAGAAGTAAGTGTTCCTTATACCTAGAAATAGCTGAAAACTGCAAAAGGTGAAGGTTTTCACTTTAGCACCAGGCATTGTGACGGAGCCCCATCTCTCTCACTGTGGCTGGACTGTATGCGGTTAGGACGCTAGTGATGAGTTTGAGGCAATGTAGATTTCTGCTTCAAAAATGGAAGCTAGGTTGTAATTTTAGGACAATGGGATCTATATCGTGAATAAAAATTGTAAAACATTTCTTCTTTGCTTTTCTTCTTAGGCGGATTTTCCTGCATTGGGAGTGGGAGCTGCAGGGGTGCTTTTTGGTAGAGGAAATCCAAGACCTAATCCTTTTGGCCTCTGCATGGCTTGAATGGGCTCAGCGATCCCCTTGCCATCTCGTCCAAGGCCTGACCCAGGTGTCCAGCCCATGTTCTGGAGCATTCGGTTTCCAATGTTGTTTTCTAGGATTGGCTGGGCGTTTTCCCCTACAAATCCTGAAATTACAAAATGACAAAAAAAACAAAACAAAACAAAACAAAAACCCACAACCCCCAAAACACATTAGTACAGGTGAAGATACTCTCAAGCTAAGAAAATCATATTCTCCTAAGTTTTTCTTTCAACAAGGTACCTGGGCGGGAGGTGCTGGTGGTGGGGGCAGGGTTCATCTTGGAATGAGGACCTTGATGGGGTAGAGGGATGAATGGAAGAAAGATCTCATTTAGAGTTTCAGCTCTACTAATCAGCAGCTGATTATTTAACTTCCTGTGGCTTTTGTCGCTTCATCTATAAAACAGGTGGAACAATGTCTACCTCACAGAAAGTGGCCAGAATCAGTTGAGATCTTGTACGAAAAATATCCTCAGTAAATGATAAAATACAAAGAGGTTTATTTCATTCCTGCCTTAGCCTCAATGGTAATTCTGAAAATCACCAACCTAACACCACAGTATTGTACATTTTCCTGGGGCACTGACATTCAATAAAACCCAAACTAAAACCAAACCAAACAAAAAGCACAACCGTTGGCATCCCTAATTCCTAGGAATTGTTTACACTGTTCTAATCCTCTTCTTGTTATTTATGATTTGGGCTATAATAAGTCTTTTCTTTCTCCTTCTTCCATTTCTACGTTTTGATCACTATAGACGCAGACAAGAAGGGAAAACATACAGGAAAATAAAATAATAAATACAGAAAATATTAAAGTTACAGATGGTGCTATATATAAAATAATTCTTCCCTTTTCCCTCTCCCTGATCTCCTACCTACCTCCATTTCTTATTTTGGAAAAGGAGACTGGGCAGTGCTTATCGTGAGATTTAGAAATAGCTCTTGTTTCCAGTACATTCCTAGCAAAGACGACTTAGAGATTCACCTATTTTAAGCATTTTCTTTTTGATGGCATTTTCAAAGATTGACTTTTAGTTTGAATTTTCTTGGAGGTTCTTATGGAAACAATTGAGCTTATGAAATGTACATTCGATTCTAGGGGAAAGTGCAGAAGTACCAATTATCTAAAGTCAAAGGATTGAGACATTAACAGATGTAAAAGTCAAGGAAACATAAGAACTTGAGCTCCCTCCTTTATCCGCACACTTGGCCTTGGGCTGTGTGCACCTGAGGTGGAGCAGGCCAGGGCTCTGAGGGGTCCATTTCTGTTCATCCTGGAGCAGCAGCTGGGAGACTGTGGCGTAGGAAAGGGGAACTTAGCCAATCTAGAGGTAACCAGTTAAAAGCAATCACAACTGTCAACTCTCAGAGCATGTCTTGTGGTTACTCCCCTTGCAGAAGGAAGTGATTATCAAATTAATACTGGAGATCATGGGGGAAAGGGGATGAGGGCATCTTGAAACAATCATTGTTTTAATGAGAACATATATAGCCCCACCTCCTACACCAGAGCTTTCCAACAAGTCAGTTGTAGAACTCCGAGGTCGCAAACTTACAGGGATGCTGTCGTTGGTTCACCATTCCCTCTCTAGTCCTTCAGGGCTAAAGATCATCTCACTTTTCAAAGTTCTGAGGATGCCTCTTGTGTATAAACTAGCTCAGCCCGGGGTCCAGCATATTTCTGCTCTGAAATGTGGGTGGCTGTTTCCCTGAACAGTTTGAGGGCTGAAATGAGGAGCAGCTAACAAGATCACTCATTACTCTCTTTGGCACCAACTCACAAGCCCCCTCTACCCTTTTCCAACATCATTAATTTTTCCTCCCTGACTGGGGATTATGAGGGCACCTTCTACTCCATCCCCTGTCCTCTGCCCCCAACCAAGAAGGCTGGGACTCTCAGTCCTTCTCCTTCTCTTAGATTATGTTTAGGACGGATCCTCAAGCACCAATAACAATAACAAAAGTATTACATATGGGACTGCAGAGTATAACGTTCTATTTCTTGGCCCAGATGGTGGTTACAGAAATGGTCAGTGTATTATTTCATCCTTTTTAAAAAAATTATTTTGTTCTTTAAACAGTCCCTCTGCATTTCCATGCGTTCTTTGGGATACGTATTTCATGGTAAAAAACTCATAATAAATGAAATAGCAAGGTTGAACCAACAGTTTTATTTTATGTGGTACTTTGTACCTAGCATTCTGGGGAGAGCAAGTTGATTGTTCCCCATGATTTTGAGTTGTAGAAGAAAGAAACTGCAAAGTGCTAGGAATCAGTTTTAATAATGGACATTCATTTACTCTGATCAATTGATTTTCAAAGCCCTTTATTGGACATTGTGGTAGTTTCAATCTTCAGTACGTTGTGGGACTGAGAATGGAATACATTTGCTGAATTAGTAACAGACAATAAATAAGAACCAGGTTACCACAACGAGTCAGTTTTGGATTTGTTAAATTGGGTCTTAGTTCACTGAAACAAGTATCTTAATGTGTAATGGAAAAAAAACTTTTAATTGCGAACAGCTTGCATGACAATGACGGGTATATAAAAAATTCATAATTCATTGTGTGTGTATATATAATATATATAATAGACATATATATATATATAATCTCTCTGTGCACATATGCACACACCTATATATATAATATAAAAAATGGGCCCCTTAGTTACACACATGCACACACACAAAACTGAAGAAAAGCCTTTTGTCAAAACTCCTCCCTAATATAAGAAAAAGAGCCATTAGAGTTTTATTTTGAAATTACAATTATGGTGGCAACCCAGACAGACCTCCAAGATAGCTAATATTTTCTGAACAGCCGCAGATCAGGTATATAAGGTTGAACAGTGCACTGGCATCCTGTCCCACATCCTTGATTTTTATGTGATTGTCACAAATTAGTTTAATCCCATCTATAAGCTCAAATTGCATCAGAGGTCTAATGGTGTTCTGGGCTACACATCTGTTTAATCATATTTTGGATACAAAAGCTTGCTAAAGTTCAGGTTTAAAATTAAATATTTAAGAAAAAATATGAGGCCAATTTAATACACCTCTTAAATAATGGCTAAATTGCAGTCATTTCTCAGTTCTAAAGGGAACAGCAAATGGTAATTGAGTATCACTACTTAAAAATGTTGATATTTCAAGCATGGTGGTCCCATACTTGTGTTTTTTATCTAGACATTAAAGAACTCACTCTCTCTCTGTTTTTTAGGTGCTGCTTCCTTCTCTCTTCTTAATGAAAATAAAATAAGGTAAAGTGGTAACTTGTACTTTCAAGTAAAAAAATTTTAAAAAAAGGAGAACATTTAATTTCTCAAATGCTAAACCTTTCCACATAGAAACATGGATTCCTGAAAAGAAGAAAAAAAGCTTTTCTATGCAACCTTAAAGACAAGATAACAGTGAGTTCATTTTTCATGGACAGTGATTCTGGAGTGAGATCTACTGTTGGTCTCTCATCCTTTTTATGAGATTAAGACTTGGGATTGGAACAACTCAGTCTCTGCACAGCATCCTACAACCATAATTTCCTTTCCTTTTGCTCCTGGCAGTGCTAAATCTTTTAAGTCCTTTCCTGGAAGGCTCTCCTCCTGCTCCGGCAATTTTAGCAATACCTAGCTTGCTCACCCTCCCACGCTCCTGACCCCAGCCCCCTTCATGCGGATCTCACCTCTCTCTGACAGCTGACTGGGTCTTTCCCCGTCACATCTTCCTGGGAGTTTAGTGGATGGTAATTCACTTGCGTAATTGGCTCAAGAGATGAAAATCTTGTATCGGCCTCTCCCAGCTGCTAATCTGTCCAGATGACTGCCAGCCTAAGTGGCAGCTTGTTTAGTAATTTGGCTCCTAAAGTGTTGTATTGATGTTGGATAAACAGCCAATGGAAGGGGAGGTGACACACGCTGCTTCCTACATAACAGCTAGTGCACCCTGCCTCAGTCCCTCCCCTGTATTCAGGACGCATCTGAGCATTTGCAGGATGCGCTCACTCTTTCTTCCTGTCCCCTTCTCCCTAGTACTTTACTAGCCGGCTGCGGGGCAGGGCTATTATTATTATTGGTTATTAAAATCATGAGTTATAATGTAGTCCTCTGTTCTCCATAACTAATTTAAGGACATGGATTTTTTTTTTTTGACTACTGTTAAGAAAGGAAAGAGCACTTAGCACAAGATGTGAGAAAATGGTAGGTGTTACTACTCTTTGTCAGATGTTTTAATGATTTCATTCTTAATATAGAAGAGCCTGATTCAGACGATTCTGCATTTTATCTGCAATACTGTAGGCATCTCTCACGTGAATTTTGCTAAATCAAATCCATTCAAGTCCTTAACTGCTTAAAATACAAGGCACATCCTTTTTAAATAATAAAAATTTAATGTAGAACTAATTTTTTTTTCCCCCAAAGTGATGAATACTTTGTAAAGAATGAAAGACGTAATCTATATTGACATGTTTGGAGAAGTTTTTTTTTTTTTTTTCTTTCTTTCTTTAAAGATTTTATTTATTTGAGGGAGTGAGAGTGACAGTGAGCAAGAGTGAGAGACAGCTACAGTAGGGGGAGAGGCAGGGGGAGAGGGAGAATCATACTCCCAGCTGAAGGGAGCCCCAATGCAGGGCTCCATCCCAGGAGCCTGGGGTCATGACCTGAGCTGAATGCACAGGTTCAACTGAGTGAGGCACCCACAGCACCCCGGAAGTGTTTTTATTAATAGATATTTTGGTTGTACAGAAATATATTTTTTATGGAATCATTATAAATCAAAGAAGAGTATTTAAAAAAAAACTAAAATAAAAAATTCTTAAAACTGTGTTGGTTCTGGGGCGCCTGGGTGGCTCAGTGGGTTAAGCTACTGCCTTTGGCTCAGGTCATGATCCCAGGTCCTGGGTTCAAGCCCCACATCGGGCTTTCTGCTCAGCAGGGAGCCTGCTTCCTCCTCTCTCTCTGCCTGCCTCTCTGCTTACTTGTGATTTCTCTCTGTCAAATAAATAAATAAAATCTTTAAAAAAAAAAAAAACTGTGTTGGTTCTGAAGGCACAAGGAGATGTTTATTTGCAATAATATATAATCAGGACCATTTATGGTTTGC